GAGGCAAGAGTTAGTTCATGGACATATGACTTGACAAGAAGGGAAGAAATTAATGTGGACGTTGGTATTTTGTGCTTATCCAAAATACCTGCCCCAATACCCAACATTGAATGCAAGTATTTAATGCATTAATTTTCATTGAAAGGCTATATAATCCTGGGGAAGGGGAAAGTTATTACAGGGTTAATGTGATTTGGGTTTAGGCTTCCTTCTTATCGATTCCCTTTGATGTCTCAGTTTAATTAATTGTATTTAAACAAGAAGGAAAACGTGCCTAATGCTCCCACAGTAGATCGATATATGAGTTCGCTCATGTACTAAATTGGGTTTTTGGTTCAATACGAAGAAGCAAACTCTGGAAATCAACGACATATAAATACATAGTAATCGATAGTATTCCATTGCAAAAGTTTTAGTTTTATGACTTGGAATTTTTCAGTTAAAAAACCCAGATTGTTGAAGCAGAGCTCCATATAGAACCAGTAGGCAGAACCCAATTAATGGCCCTCACACCGCAACAAAACTTATTCCTACACTAAAAATAGGGTTTTGGTACAGCACTTGCTTAGAAACTTGACGCTGAAATTGTAAAGAAAACTATGGCTTAATGCTTGGGCAAGTAAGCCTGGCCAAGGGAGCAACAGCTTGAGAGTTAACGTAAGTGCAGGGCTCGGTGTAGACGGATGTCCAACGTAGATCAGTGAAGTGATCTTGCTTGTCAGGTCCACCAAGTATAGCACCGGTTAACTCATTAGGATTCGGTACATCTTTATTGTACCATTGAACGAAGCTCATGGGGCAGCCCACTGCCAGATTGGCCTGCGATACTGGGACCGAGGCACCCCGGTGGTGCGCTTGTTTCGGTGGATTGTTCCCAAAACCAACCATGTATGATCTTCCTTCAGGGTTTTTCCCTAGTATATAGTCCATCTGCAAATTTCCATTTAACCAAACAGATGTTGAGTACGTAACTTGTATTTTCTGCTGAACTATCTTCACCCATAAAAGCATTGTTCAAATATTAATTACGCCAACAACTTTTACAGCTAGTGTTATGATCTGTACAGCTATCAAAGTAATCAGTTCTATAATGCTTGCTCGATGGCTAGTGTACTTCATTTCTATTTTCTTAAGAAATCATAGGCACTTTATGGAAATCTTTACCTGCTGCTTAGCAAAAGCCAAGAGGTGGGTGGAGTCAAACTGTTTGTCTCCACACTGGACCTTTTGGTTGAATTTTTGAAGCATATCACCATAGATAGTGAACAAGAGAGCTGCTCCTGTAACATACTGAGTGTTGGCCCCATCTCTCAAGTGAATCATTCCACCTGTAAATCAATCAGTGATTTAGAATAATAAGCATTATTTTCATATATGGCCATTACAATTGAAGGAAAGATGCAGAGAGGCAGAAGACCTGGAGTCATGGGAATCTTAAAATAAGAACTTTCAGGAAGCACTGAGCAAATATAACTGTCAGCTTGGTCCTTGTAGGATTTTAAACACTGATCACCTTTAAAGAAAAACTGCATTTTGAAGAGAATATTGGTGATCAGGTTCATTGCAAAAAAGAAATGTAAATTAATTAATACAAATGGGAAATGCACAAACTGCCATCATAGCCTCTCTGTAGAGAGGAAGAGCGGAAATGTTTAATATGAGAGACCTGAGAAAGGAGGACTTGGACTCCAGCAAATTTGAGGTCCCAGTTAAACTCATCGACAACTGCACTAACTGCCTCTTCTTTGATGTACTGCAAGTACGTGGGCTTAAAGGTGGCATGGTATAACCATGCTGCCGCCCACAGCAGCTCATCCTGCATTGTCCACACCCATCGAACTTGGTTAAGATCAGATACAACTAAAGCCAGGCACATTCCAGCCCAAATCCAAGAATATAGTTTTGGGTCATCAGCAGCCCAGTTGTATGTTGGACTTGGATAATCAGATTACTAATTGCTGATGGGCCAAGACCTGTCTCTTATTGAAGACAAATTTATGGTCTCAGCCCTGATTTTTGGGAGAGAGGGAGAGAGAGAGATTACGTTATAGCCAGAGTAAGAGCAATAGAAGGGGCATTCTCCATCGTAGGTTCCCTTGTGTGATTTAGCAAATTCGAAAAGCTGAACCAAAACAAGTAAATTTAGTGTCCAACACTTGCAATTAAACAAGAAAAATGCAAACATTTAAAGACATAAAGGCACCGAAATATATATACCAATTTGGCTTTGTTAAGGAGACGACGTGCATAGGCACGATCAATGCCTCTAAAGACCATAGAAGAAGCAGCCATTGCCGCAGCAGTTTCAGCTGCAATCTCTGTTCCAGGTGCGCTCGCATTGATTTGCAGGACAGTTCTCGGTGTCTTCATATTCTCTGGTCTCACCCAACATTCATGATCTTTTACAGGGTCGCCAACCTTTTTTAAAAACCCAACATGGAAATAAAACGTCAAATACTGTCGAAAATGCAACATAAATGGGAGTTAAAACTATAGAGAAAGTGGGATTTTGATTACCTGCACATACAATCTGTCACGTCTAGAAGCGGCTTTTAGAAAATAATCAGTGCCCCAACGAATAGCCGCACGAACGTTTTCCAACTCGCCAGCAGCTTGCAGATGGGACTTGTAAGCAAGAGCAGACCATGACAGGGTTGTGACTGTGAAAGCCATGGGCAATCCATATTTCACGTTGTCTCCAGCATCGTAATATCCTCCGACAAGGTCCACCTGCAATAAATAGAAGATTAACAAAATAGCATGCATGCATGCATGCAAATGAAAGATTGAAACTTGGGGTTGTGTCTTGTCTCTTCTTTATGTTTATATTTTGATGAAGACAGAAAGAAAAAATAACAAATGAATGAAGGGTACATTTGCTTCTTGTCCGTCATCAAGAGCAGAATCTCCTCTCCAGAATGGTCTATGATTAGGGGGCAGTTTCCCTGATCTTTGTGCTTCCAAAAAAATGATGGACTTGGTGAGGGCGTCCTTGTAGTTCAAATCATGACCATTAACAGAGACGACATACCCTTGAAACATAGCCAACCATGCCACAATAGCGGCTGCATATGTTCTTGCAAAAGTTCCCATGAAAACAACCACCCCAAAATCCACTTTCAAAACAATTGAATATCTATACCAATTCTAAGAAGGAAGAAAAAAAAAGGGTTTTGAGAGGCTAGCTCCAAGGGATTGGAATATCAAGTTTAAAGCAGAGACGCTCTGTTTTCCGTTGAGAATTATAGTGGGGAAACAAGGTGGCATTAATGGTTTTGGGTCTGGAATCATAATGTTAGTTTCACGGTTTGATGGCGGGAAAGATGAGACGGATTAGTTATAGTGAGTTCGTATGTATATTTTAGGATGGAGGAGAGAAGGTGGGAGATTGAGAGATTTCGGGAGGAGGTTTACCCGTGTTTAGGCACACTAAACATGATTATTACTATACTTGATATGCGGTGTTTAGAATCTTTGCTAGACTAATTAAGGTTCCCCCTTGACCTCCCATTTTTACCTATACCAACAAGAGATTCTTGGTCACTTATCTCTGCCCCTGGTTTCCCGACATGTTTTATAATTGGATTGTTACCCTGTTAATCAAAAACGGATTCTATCTTTGGTGCTTATGATATCCAAACGCTTAAAACAAGATGAATAGATTGAATTGAATGAAATTCCTGACTAACAGCTAGGTTCAATAAGCACGGATTGTTAAATTTATGGAAGCGAGGTCACTCAAGTAAAAGGGTTGATACAGTTTGAACACATTTTGACTTCATCAGATGAAATGCCTTGATTGAATCTTTAGCTTTCCAAGGTCGTGCCTTTTTACCAGATTTTCGGTTCTGATTCTGGTCTGTTTACCGTTTGTTTTCTGCTTAATCCGTTTCTCTCTTTTTTGGCTTCAATAATTCATCAATTCCCCCATTCAACAAGCATGAACTACAACATTCATCCTTCAATCAATCGTGATTGGATTTGGTTTTGCTCTGGCAAGTAATGGTTATCTCGAGACGTGGCTATAGTTGTATATTAAAAAGAATGATGATGACAAATATAATAGGGATATCTGTTAAACTGAAGATTATCCCCAAAGCTACAAAGAATATCGTAAAAATTACAACTATCCTACGTTGTATGATTCTCGAGCAAACCATTGCAAGGTTTGCATTGAATTTTCTGATTGCCCCTGGTGTGTTTATCAGCTACCCCTCTAAAGTACTGTAAAAACGTCCATGAAAGGTTAAGTTCCTCGTTACAATAGCCATTTGCTCATTAAAAAATTGAGAAAATGGTGATGGAAAACAAGCCACCTCAGCATCTCCTTATAATGCTTGCAACATTTCTGCCGATGTCTTCTTTTGTTTGCTCGGACACCGGGCCATCTCCAATGTACATGTCAAAGAAAGCCCCTGGCAAACAACCCATATTAGGATCTCGACCTTTAGCTGTTAAAATCATAGTCTAAAATTGAAAAAAAAGCTAAGCAACACACTTCAAAGGGTAAATAAGTGCTAAGACCAAAGGGGATTTACTTACTGCATAAATCCTTGCTGTGGACCACGCCAATGTGGTTACCTCCAACTGCACAAATATATACTTTCACTATAAGATGAATGTACACTTTGGACAATTTTTAGCCAATACAAAATATCGAAGAGAGTTGTACTTGACAAAAGAAAAAGTGAAAAAGGAAATATTAGTCAGATCACTTGTTACTCACTCTCCATGGAGCAAACAGCATGCCAAGATAGTAGTCTCATGCAGTGGTTGTTACTGTTTGAGAAGGGATTAAAAAAAAAAAAAAACTTACTTTTGGTAATTAGTTGTCCATCAGCTGTCCGCTGAAAGTCAATTATTGTTCCCTGCAATATCCCAATAAAGTTAAGGTGACTTGCTGCAACCTTCAATCATACAGAAAAAGATGAAAAACAAAGGGGCATACCGCCGGCAATGCAATATCTTGAGTGAAGTAGGAGCCAAATGTACTTAGGCAATGATAATCAGTGTCGGGATTTGTCTAGTAGAAGTCACGAAATTTATCAGAAAACCAGCAGATCTAGAAGAGCAATTAAAAGAAGAAAAGAAGAGGATGGGAGGGGAGGGGGGCAGGGAATAAATTCACCAACTTTGATTACTTACCTTTACTAAACGAGCACGAAGAGATTTTTCAAATGCACTGCAACATACACAATAACAGCCAATAATCAAGACACAGCCCCTCTAATTTCATCCAAGCTACTCTTATCAAACTGGATACAATAATGGGCATTTGCAAGTCTGACAACAAGAGCCCTACCACCTAATCAATGTATGGGCCTCATACAAAGCAGTTTCCAAGAAGCAGCACACGTTAACAAAATTTTCAAGGGTAAAAAAGAACTTACTCTCTTACTGTATTGACTTTCATCCCATTGCAATTAACCACAAGCCTAACAGTCATACCAATATCCTCCCTGCAAACTCATATAGAAAAAGATTCATAAGACAAGAGACACAGATAAGACATCAAAGTTGGCAAAAACAAAAAGAGTACAATAACAAACTGAGGTTAAAATCTGTCCACACTCATAACTTTGAACAAACAACTTATGAATGTTCCAAGTCCTTAAAAAGCCTTTATTGGCATTTGGCAGTAATAAATTTTCTAAATTTAACTGTCTCTAGCATGGAAATTCTCAAGTACCTAAGAAGATCCTGATAAAAATCATTGTGTTTGTGCAGTTCACCCACTGGAATAGCAGCATACTTTGGACCCAATTTCTGGCATACAGAGTATGGATGAATATCTATAAGGGGAAAAGGAAAAATCAAGCATGAGTCACTGAAGCATCAGGAAAACCACATCACTAATAACAAAAGGAAAGAGGAATGAAGCAAAATCCACAAGTACTTACAAAAACCAAAAGCATACACCTTCAGAGACTTAATTTTGATTATTTTCATGGTTCTTGATCCAGTACCAACAAGCACCTGAAAGCATTGAGAAGTTGCTAAAGTTATTGGAAAGGGAACAGAAACGCCCAACATGTCAAAATGCCCAGTCAGATTATGTTAAAGTGAAGCATGTTCCCCATTGTGACTGTTCATGTTTGGCCTAATGATGTTTTGTGATGCAAGTCCCATGGCTAACCTATGGAAAGCTTTAAAATCAGTTGGTTTAAAATCTCAAAAAAGTTGCTTTTAATGTAAGAAACTGTAGGAACGGCTAACAGAATGACAAAGAAATTAATTGCCAGACAGCATATCAAAATACTTTGTGAATATACCAAAATATAAATAAGCAGGCAAACAGATAAAGGCACATCACAGATGGTTGATACAGAGTGGGTTGCTGAAGCAACAGCAATCAGTCCACTATGTTTTACCTCCGAAGCCAAACTGGAATTATTCTGTCTATCTAATATGTTATCCAATATCAATGGGAACTCAATGCCAGTTCTCGGTTCAACAGCATGTCTTGTCCAGTTCAAATCTAGAAAAGATAGACTGCCACATCCTTGATGCCCAACATCACAAGGCCTTTGATCCATGCATTCTTGCATTTGAACTTCTGTATTTTCCAGTGGAACAGCTAGTACCTTTGTAGATCTGATAACATTTAATCAATGGATTAATTAATGAGAAACTATATGACTAGAAAAACACAGTACAGAAAAGTAAAGGACAACGTAATTTGTGAGATAGAAAACCTTACAAGTTGTCAAATGGTGGGATCAGAGCGCAGCTAATGAGAGCAGAGGAAAGGATTGGAGTGCTTCCGCTTCTCCAATAAGTGTCTCATTGCATAACTCGAAATTTTACCAAAAACAAGTGGGGTGGCAGATTGGCCTCTCGAATCAGAAGCAAATTGAAATCCAGCAACATAATTCTTACAAGAAGTGATGTGCTTAACCTTAGCTGAAGACTTGGAACTTCCAGATTTCAAACCACGTTGATTACCAGCTGATATATCCCTACTCAAATTCGAAGTCGACATACTAGAGAACCAAAACAGTAATACACCTGCAAACCTCGACATGCAACTAAAAGCTTCACGAAACGCAAGACTACCAGGTACATACATGTGTTTTGAATGGTACAAAGAACTGTCAACCAATGAACTGAACTGAGAAAACAAATGAGCTCCCAACCCATTAGATACAAAGGGCTCCATTGCAAAAATATATGGAGACCCTCCTCCATCTAAATCCATGAAAAGCAACCAATTACTCCGCATAATTTTTCAGACTTAAGCTAAATGCCCAATTCAGAAACCTTAAACCTTTTCTGAACTGGGCAAATCCGGTGCTCAAATTTACCCCCCAATTCGATACAATGCACCTGTAAAAAAAAAATTGATAATCCAATTAGAATTCAATTATGATCCATTTAAGAACAGAAAAGAAAATAATCATAAGAATTAAATTACAAAGAATAATAATGATATTGAAAATGTACAAAACATTCAGCTTAAATAATTGGAACCCGAGACAAGCAACATATATCCGGGAATAAAAATGTCTATTAAATTATTCCATGCAATTAACCACGACTATCATTCAATGCAAAGAAAGTTAATCTTTTTTTTTTCATAATTAATAAGAAGAAAAAATCTTTACAGAAACAAAACGAAGCTGGTTCCAGAAACAGAGGTAAACTCTACATTCATCAAATGCGGCCAAAAAAAAAGTTTAAAATAAATTACTTACACGAAAAGATCGGTGCAGAGAAAGATAATGTCCGAAAGCGGTTAAATTTAACGAACATTTTCTTCTTTATTCTCTTTTTGACCAAGCAATTTACAAGAAAAAAAATGGGAAATGGGAAGAAAATGAAACATGAAAACGTACCTGAAATTAAATCACGATGAGAAAACTTGCATGTCGAGATCAAGAGATTCAAATTACTAAATGGAAGCTAGGGTTTTGTTTTCTTTCTTTTTTTCCTTTTTTCTTCTTCTTTTTTCTGTTTTCTTTCTTCTTTTGGGTTGGTGTCAAGAGTTTTTATTTCAAGGGAGAGAGAAAGGAATATGCTCCGCGTCTCTGTAATAAAAAGGAAGAAACAAGGCACAGTGATTCAAAGCTTTTTGGAAGGACAAAAGTGGAAAACACAAAGTTAAGATACTTTTCCCTGACGCTGACGGTGTTGGGCCCCACAGAATCGTAACAAAACTCCAGCTCTGCATATTGGTAACGTTTCTGACTTGATTTCCAATTAAAACCCTTTTATGCTGCAAATAACTTGAAATCTTTTCTGTATTTTCTATTTTCATTATATTGCAGTTTTTAGTTCAAACTGTTCTTTTTTTTTTAAGAAAACCAAGTATTATAACTAGAAATTTCACATAACAAAATTTTACAACTATTATAGAGGCAATTTTGTAATATTGATCAAAAATGAAAAAGAAACATGTTAAATAATTATATGAGTAGCTCAACACATAAATATTTCTGTGCATACATATATACATACACACATATATATATATAATAATAATATCATTTTTTTAGTTTGACATAACATTTTAAAAAGTTTTTAAACCATTTAAAAATTTTAATTAAGTTTTTATTTTGTTATTATTAATTAAATTTTATATTTTTTTAAACTAAATAAATCTATTTGATTAATGATTGATTATTTATTATTTGTTAAAATATTACTGATATTTTTTTGTCATGTGATATGGGCATGGAAAGTAAAATACAAAGATGAAGCCTCCTTTAGCTAGCTTGGGGGGTCAAATTTTTAAAATTTTTTTATACTATATAAAATTTTTAATATAATCTCTTAATGGATCCTTTCAAAATAATTTTTTATTTAATAATTAATACCATAAAAAATATGTCACATGCCTTACTCAATTTTAATTTTTGTAATTTATATTATTATTTTTATTTATATTTATTTATATTATTTACTCATATGTTCTAAGTTTCTATAAATTTTTTTCTCCAAATTTCTTCTAATAATCAATTATATTTTGTTTTTCGTTATGTCATATATGGGTTCTATCTTTTACTTGTTATGTTGTTCTTTTTCTTATTATGTGAATTTTATTTTTTATAATTTTAATTTTTAAAAATTAATAAGTTATTATGTATTTTTCAAATATAAGTTGTAGTATTACACTGGTATTTAAAATTTCATCAATGTATCATTTTTTTATTAATCCATATAAAAGGAAATGATTTTGAATATATAGTCTTTAAACAATCTTAATTATAAAGAGAAAATTATTAATCTTGTATATCGTATTTTAATATTATAAGTTTACATATAAATAAAATAAAAATATTGAAGATAACTATATTAATTCTTTTTCAAATTTGATTAAAATATGAGTAAGTTGAAAATAATTAATATTTTTTTTTAAAAAAAATATGTAAATCGTTTAAATGATTTTCCTACATATAAGTTATCAAGCCTCATTACTTCAACTCATGAAAAAGAGTAATATGAATCAAAATACCAAAAACTCAATCCTAAAAAAAAATATTTTTTAATATATAATTAATAATTGATGAATTTGAATTCAAAAAATCAAGTATAGCTTTCTTAAAATATTTTTGTAAATCTTTTTTTTTATTTACAGGTTATATAAAATTATTTTTTATTATTAATCTTTTGATTGTTAATTAAATTCAACATATTAGTTTTAAAAAATTTTAATTCTTATTCTTTTATCTTTAGTCCCTTAATAAAAATTGACTAACTCTATCTTTAGTAAAATATAATGTGATCATGTTATAATGTTATGTCATCATCTATTATACCATATTAACATATAATATAAAATGATAAGTAACGTTTTGATTAATAATAATCTATTAATTATTAGTTATAACAATATATTCGAATCAAAATAAAAACATAAAATTTTAATTAAATATAATAAAAAAAATTTATTTAGATTTTTATTAATTAAAAAATTAAATATTATGCACCCTTTCTTTGAAAATTCTCATAATATGTTAATAAGACCGCAAGAACGGGATGTAGACTCTGAAAGGTGAAATTAGCTGGCGGGAAATGGGGTTTCCTGGTCCCATAAAAATGTGGTGGACCGTCAATGGGCTTCCAGCTTTTGTGAATGACGGTTGTGTCCTTCGTTCGCAGTAGCCTGCTAGCTCTCTCTCTCTGACCCTGTTGGTTCCCAGTTATATTTTGTTGGCTTGTAAATTTATTAGCACAAAATGGAAATTCTCCTCTCTTATTCTTTTGTAAAACAACTTTGATCAATGCTTTATTTATCTCATTTAGCACTATTAGAAATTAGGGAATCCCTTTTGTGGCCGGACACGTCTGCATCGCACGTGCTGACATGTAGAAATGTGGGTATTGGGAGCTATCCGTCACCTTTAGATTTTAATACTAAAACCCAACCAATACCCGTTTGGAAGTATATTCGTGGAATGTACGAGACTGGCTTTCGTGACCAAATTCACCGCCTAAAACATTTGGATGTTTCTGCCCATTGGTCGCACCTCATTGGGTGTGCAAATGGAGACATGTGTCACCGTCCACGATGAACAACGAGACCGACATACCCAACCGTCATTTTCATTCTCCCACACATGGGGATGGGAATAAAGGGAGGGTGATTTGGATTTACAATGCATCGTTGGGAATTTTATTTTCCAAAGCTAAATTCGGGCATCCATAAATCCCACGCAAAGTAGAATTAGGGGTAAAAGAAAGAAGGGAGAAGCAAAGGTTGGATTGGAGCCGCAGCGTTAGAAATGGTGTGAATGTGAACAAAGAGAAAGAGAAGGAAACGGCAGTTGGGAAACCGATGGGAGGCAGAAGATGTTTGACACGAAAGTGGACCGTTGAAGGAAAAGCAATTTCCAAGAAGGATACGAGAGGGTCCCCCCCACGACAGAGTTGGGGCCCTGGGGTGGTGATGGTGGTTGTTTCTTTCTTCTTAAACTTTTGTTCTCCACTAAACTAATCAATCACCCACGAAAATACGGTGATTTACTCCACAAATCAAGTAGACGACAAAGGCGGCACCCAACAGCAGAGTTTCCGGTTAAAGGGCACGCAAGCTGAGTCGTACCCATAATTTGACCCGAGGAAAGATAAATAATAGAAAAATAGAGGCACGAGGCCAGCCGATTCAATTTCGGACGGTTCTTTAGCCAATTTCTCACAAAGGTAGGACAAGAATAATTATAAACATTATAAACAATGAGTTGTATTACTAGGATAGAAAGAATATCATGTTCCTTGTTCCTTGATATGTCTGATACGATCCCAACCCTGGAAGAAAACAAACAGACAGGAAAAACAATTTCTCTGGGGAAGGTTTTCCTCTGAACAAAATCAGAGTCTTTAGAACCATGGGGATCTAAAAAGGAAAAAAAAAAAATTCACCTTTTAACCTTGTGACAACTGATCAACAAAATGGGAAAAACCAAAACTTTAGCCTGTGATGAAAATATGATAATGATATAATATGCCAGCAGTCAAACAGATGGGGTTGTTTCCTCCAGCCCTAAGACATCCAAAATCCGATCACATTCTTCATATTATGAACAGTCTTTCGCAAATGGGTTGCTGGAATCACAACAACCCAGCCTCGAAGAGATTTCTCCGTCTCAAAGTCTCGTCCACGAGTTTGAAAGTTTTCTTCACGAGCTTCTGGTCAAGGGCAGTGGTTCTGTAGATCTTAAATACCCGATCCACTTGATCAGGGGCTGTGCTTTGAAAATACAACTCCTCGAATTTCATCTTTACAAACCTGAACAGAAGGAGAATGAAAAATGGTCATAGGATGAAAATTCCTTCTCCGCAAGAATGGGAAGATGAATTGCTTACTCATATGCATGCTCAATCTCTTGTTTTCCAGTTGAAACTGGCTGGTAATCTTTGAACCACTCACACACATTTAATGGAACCTACAGAATGTAGAACATCAAAGACCATACTGATTATAAATTGTCAACATCCAATATATGTATACTGTTCTATTGGCCTTACTTTTAGAACCTTCTTTTCAAATATGTCAAATTTGTTTAGAAACAGCATGAAGGACGTGTTCTGCACAAAAGAAACAATTTTTACATTAAGAGAAATTCCAGCTATGAGCAATCCTCAACCTTCTATACACACAAGAGCATATATAGCATAAAACCTCAAAGCATGGTTGCTTTAAGACCCAATCAAAGAGTTCTTTTGTCTCCATCATACGGTTCTTTTGTTCATCCTCAAAGAGAGTTTGATCATACCTAAAACACCATAAATTACAAGGTTAAGATATCTGCATTTTGGCACCATGCTCCGATATAGAAACAGAGTTATATTAGGCACACAGACAGAAGGGAATTTATAGAAAGCAAAAGCAATAAGGATCTTACTCGCTAATAGCAGCACAAAAGATAACAGCTGTAACACCTTCAAAAAGATGGATCCATTTCCTTCTCTCATTTCTCTGGCCTCCGACATCAAAGAGTCTATATACTTCACCACTTTTCTTATTTTCGCCCACAGGGCTGCGGATGTCATAGACAACATGAGATACTAATCAATATACCAAACAAAGTAATGTGGACAAAAATTAATCCTGCATCTCTCATGCAACCATTGATTTACGTCACCTTACCAAAAATATAATGTGCTAAGATAATGTCAAACATAAACACCTGATTGAGTACCTATTTGAATTTCTCTATACAAGTATATAAATCTGAAATTAGTAAATCAGATGTCTAGAAGGCAAGAATATACATCTGTTTATTAAGGCTAACCTAGTTCATACATTAATGTACTTGCAAAGGAAACAGAGAGAATAGGAAGAAACATAATTCACCTGAACTGGATTTCTACAACACCAGTTGTGCGAACTCTTGCATATAGAACATCCTCCTGCCATAAGAAAATAGAATAGGAAGCATGTAAAAATTTCATTTTCCCTGTTTGCTGTATCATGCATGCTAATCTTATCGAGAGGTATTAATTCATTCATAAGATAATTGTTTTATTTTTCGACCATTACATACTACTACAACTTCCATAAGTAAGAAACATTGCAAATTCTAGATACCTTTGTTGGAATATAATTTGCATCAGACAATCTTTGCAAATTTTCCATGAAATAAGACGCACAATCCGGAACTTGAAGTTCATTACCACGAACATAGGTTTCCTACAAGTACACGGAGTGAATAATTACTAGCACGCTCCATCGAAAATAAACCTTCTAATTTCAACAGATTGAGTAAATTCCCACCCACCCACCACCCCAAATAAAAAGAACACTAAATATACAAAACTAAGCAATGGAGCTAGGCACAATCAGCTTATATCTTCTAGATACAGCAGTAGTTACCTGAATTGCAGAATCTTTCCACACAGTTTCTATCTCATGTGCAAGTTCTCTATTTAGACGTGGATAATCCAATCTGCTTCCAATTTCTGATAGTTTCTCTCCAATAACCTGATAGAGAATGGAAATTTTATGTTAAGATTTTGAACAGAGATTAGAAAACTTAAAAAAAAAAGGAAGAAAACAATCACAATGCACTTTAATAAACTATACAAATACAATGAAGCAGAAAATTGATGACTTCAAACCTTATTTTCGCTGGATAAAACATATTTGGAAGAGCATGCATCATTTTGAGCAAATTCCTTTGATCCATCATACAATATCTGTTGAACCGCATAAAGCATAATTTAGAAACATAGATAAAAACTCATATCATAACAGATAAAATTTCTCATCATAGAAAACTGACACCAGACACCATTATATATTTATATTATACAAAAGGGAAATAACCAACACACCCTTTTCAGGTATTGCGTACTTTTATAGTCTGATAGATGTTGGCCTGGATGACTGGGATATAGCTCTTTAGCTCTGCCTCGTCAAAACCAGTTTGGAACAGGAGTTTTATCTGCAAACAAGTTGTGTAGAATAAAAAGGAGAAACACATATCATATCAGTGTTGTCAACAAACATGAACTACAATTCAACAAAGGGCCAATTAATCTGTCTTGCCTGCTTAAAAATGGTTGACTTCCCAGATTCACCAGCACCTTTAAAACAAAAGAATATTTGAATCATTTATGAAGCAATCCAGAGAAGAGAAGGGGAGGGGGTCAGAGAGTCACCAGCTTTCAAAGGACATGGAAATATAAAGAAAAACAATATTCATTGCACAATGTCAGTAAACACAGTTTAAGGTGCTCAACTGCTTATCTGAATTGTGAAGAATTTATTGACTAAATATTCTTTAACTCTTAAGTTAGGAATAGGAAATATATCAAGCACCCAATGCCCATCTTATAGCAATTCTATATGCTCTGTGTTACTACTTGCCAAAGTCTAGGTTGAGAAACAAATAAAAAAAAAGGCAATGCAGCCCATCAATACAACCAAAGCATTTGATGAGACTGGTATGTAATATCCACATCCTCAAGAACCTCAACTAAGCATAACAGTTTCCATACCCAAACAAATAAAAGCATGGAACATTTAATAAAATCATTTCATTCTTGTTATTTTTGCGTACTGCTGAATAAAAACCATGATGAAGCCACCTGAAGTCTTCAACCAATCAAAATAAGTTTGAGACGTTAATACTGTCAGATACAGAAGTGAACAACTCGTAATTTGCGAACAAATAGGACAATAAGGAACAAAATCTTAGTTATACACACCAAGTAGTAGAAGCTTCTGGATATGCTTTTCAGCCTTTGTTTCTTGTTCAATTCTCCTTTCAATTTCCGCTGCCTGCAAATGAGTAAATCTAGAAATTAAACTGAAGCCTAATTACCATAAAAATAATAATACCAAATCCAGAGCGTTCATCCAGTTGTACTCTCTAAAAGGGTAACAGACTATATATGTAAACTGTACTTCACCTGTGCGTTCTCCTCAGCATCTGCTTCAGTGTAATGACGGTTCTTGCTGCAGAGTAAGCCCATATTCTCTAGAACAGTAGACAGCATAGAAGATGCATGTATCAAGCTCCACAAGGTGTCTTATGTGCCCTTGCGTCTTATAATATTTGCTAATAATGCATTTAAGCCAGCCTAAGCAGAAAGCCAACAATGATTAGAGATGTCTCTCCTAAGAGGTCCTTGAGTCAAAAATCAAGAAAATACTTAAATCAACTTCAGAAACTTTCTAGCAAGCAAGCTGACAAATCATAAGAAAAACTATGAACTATGAATAATAGTCCTCAGACATGGATTAAATTGGCTGAAATCCAGTTATGAAACAAACCCATATGACTGCAGCCAAAACATTCAAAAAAAGTACAAACATGGATTATGAGCATATCATTTGATTAAATTCTTACCCAGATTTAAGAACAGTGATCAATTCCTTGTCACTTCACGTGAATCTACAAACTTAATGAGAACATGACAGTGAAGACACATGTCCACGTCGTAGAGAACAATTAATACACTATACATGAATGTCCATATTTTGTATTCACCATTTACCCACATAATCAATATACCCTCCTTTGGATGTTTACTAAGATTTGGACTTTGCTACCCTCCACCGCATAATTCTCATCTTCCCCAACTTTTCCATAAGATTATAAACAGATTACACAAACTAAAGTGCGCAATTTTATCAAACAAGCTGAGATTACAGTCTCAATGCACTTCATAGCCCACCAATCTAGCAAGTGCTACAAATCTTAGCTGTTCACGATTTTAGTCTACCAGAAAACTTTCACTTCAAAACAGTAGTAAAAAATCAGTGGAAACAGGCACATACTTGAGAAAAAAAAGAAAATCCAAATGCTAAAACAATTAAAACAGCAAATGAGCATAGCTAAAATCCCCCCGATCTAATCACCACAAAACCAACAAAGAGATCTTCAAATTCAAGCCAAAGAAACGAAAAGATCTAAAGAAAAAGAAAAAGATTGAAACTTCAACAAAATGAAAAAAAAAAAAAAGAAAGAACTTACCAAATAACAAGAAGAAACGCCTGGTGGGGTTGATGGAGTAAAAGGGTTAGCTTTAGATGTGGACAATTGGGGCAGGGCAAGCAACCAGAGAGAGAGAGAGAGAGAGAGTTAAAAAGAAAAAAGCTTTTGCTTTGTTTTTTTGCTAAGTATGGATATGTTATTTTATTATCTGTAATAAAAAACGTTTGAAACTTTGTTTAAGTTCGAGTGTGAAAGTGTTAATATAAATAAAAAGGAAGAGATGTTAGGGAGGCAAGGAAGAAGAGAGAAAGAGGAGCAAGGAAGCAAAGAAAGCAAGAGCGCCGAAAGCTGCAGAGGCTTTGGCTTTGGCTGCCGTCTCTTTCTCTCTATCTTCAGTCAAAGTTGGAAAGATGTGTACCTTCAAATAATAGCAACAGAGAAAAAAACACAGAAACACCTTCTATTTATATTAGTATGTATACTATAGTATGAGAGAAAGGTTGTCTTGGGAAAATACATGTACGCGCTTAGACTAGACTCTGCCACCGCAGCAGCTGCTGCTGCTCCTACTGCTCCTACTGCTTTCTTTTTCCTTTGCTTTTCTCGCTGATTCTCTCTGCTCAGAAAGTCTCGAGTATCTTCCCATATTTTGACCAAAGAAATGGACTTTTGTTGATTATTTTGAAAAATAAAGCAAAACAGAGAAATGGGTTTCTATTTTTCCTCTTGTTTCTTGGATCGAAAACAAGGACTTGTCCGTTGGGTAATTTAGAATGCCATTATTCCATTTATTTTTTCAATCTTTGAAAAGATATTTTTGGACCAATTCTCTAGTATTCTATTTATACAAATCAAGTACTTGCGTAATTGAAAAGAACAAGATGTAACATGTTAATTATTTTAATAAACAAAAACTTGTTAATAAATTAATAGACAGAACAAATTTCCCATGATAGGGAAATATATATGTTATTCTATTTGTTGAGTTTGTAGAATTTGTAGAGTTGATATTTCAACTCCTGGACTCGTTATTTTTATTTTCTTTATTTCAATCGTGTGATTTATTAGCAGAATGTTATAGATAATTAAAAAAGAAGATTCACATTTTTAGTTCACATTTAAAACTGTTTATTCAATGAATACAAATTAAGGGATCAGGTTTTTAATGTTTTGTTATTCAAATATTTTTTAATTTATCTTTTGTATTTCTATTTTGAAATTGATTATTTTCAATTTTTAAGTTAAATATCAAATTTATCATTATAATAGGGTTGAATTTTGTCACAATATTTATATTTTGGTTGATATTTGAATAAAAATTATTTTGTAAAATATTTTGTTTAAGCTAGTTAGAAAAAAAAAGTTTGGTGCACAAAAATATATACAGGACATTTTTTTTTTGAATTAGGGAATTAGGATTCTAATCGTATAGAAATCATAATTCGAATTCTATTTTTTAAGTAAAAAAATCATGTACCAACTAACAAGTCAAATATTCAAATTCAAATCTTGCTCTTCAAATGAAAATATCATACACCAATCTATAAATTAAATGTTTTGATGCATATACATGATACATCATTTTGTATTATATTTTATTGTCCAATCATTTTTTTCAATTTTTTTATCCTTTATCCCTTTCTCTCTAAAATTCTCTCTAAAATTTTAATTGTCAAAAAATATTTTCAAAAATCAATCTAAAATACAAAAACACCTCTAAAATTAACCACAAATAAAACCAAAAACAATTTAAAATTTCTTTTCATGTTCAACAAAAAATTGAAAATTTTCAATTAAGTTTTTTTTATATACCTCAATCCTCACATCAATTGATATGTGTTATAAAAAGATATTTTATTAAAAAAACATAAATAAAAAATAATGTGTTTCAAATTTTGGAAACAACTGAGTATAATTTGCTATAATTTTTTGTACAAAATGGGTTTGAAGAATGAAAGACCAAATAAGGTCCTATAATAAATGATTCAAAGTATTCACTATTTGAGAATCTTAGGTTCTAAAGTCGAATTAAGATCAAATTGAGTCGTTTTAGAATAGCATAATGCAAAAAAAAAAAATTTATTTAAAAAATTTTAAGTAAATTTTTATTTTTTATTACTTTAATTAAATTTTTATATTTTTTTAATCAAATAAAATTTTATAACTAATTATTGATTAATTGTTATTAGTAAAAATGACATTTATTATTTTTTATTCACGTAACATTGAAATGATATTAATGTAGAGAGTGAAAAATACCAATATGATATCATGCTAAAATTAATATGTCATATTATCATTAATTATGATATATTAATATATCTCAAATAATTAATTATGATATATTAATATGTCACACCAGTGGTATACAATATAAAATAACAATAGTATTTTGAGTAAGTTAATTATTAATTATAAAAACTTTACTTGATTCAAAATAAAAATATAAAAATTTATTTAATTTAAAATAAAAATATAAAAAATTAATTAAATATAATAAAAATATAAAACTTTATTTAATTTTTTTACGAATATTATATCTTTTGAGAATTCTTTTAAGTCTTTGTTTGTGGTTGGAGATGAAGACCCTTTTTGAAAAGGCTCAAGTCAGGCAATGTATCTTGACCATCCGGATAAGGGAGAGGACATGACTCCATGAGCCATTGAGCTAAAGTCCCATGCCTCATTTAGAAGTAAATACTGGTAAAAATGACAGAGTTACTTATAATAGATAATTGAGTTATTCCTACTTGGATTAACAAGAAAAGACATAGTAATGTTTTAATAATACTAGCATTTCTCACTAAAAGACAGATAATAGTAAACAATGGTTATTAACATCAATCTGAAAAATTCCAGCCTCGTCATCTTATAACCAACCTTAACACTCAAACCTGTTAAGATATCAAAAGCCACTTAGGTAGTTTGCCACCAGATGCAACCTTGGAACCTAGCTACCAGCAGCAAGTTCTTGCGCCATTAGTAATTCAAAATCTAAGAATTTAGCAAGGGAGTAGAGGCTTCCTTGAATATTATTCCAACAACATTACATAGAAATTTACAATTTTATAGGGAATTGATGATAGCATATAATCAAAAGGAACCGCATAGGAAGCCATTGACAATGTTGTTGAACTGTGCTGAGTTCTCAATCTGGGGTACGTGAGATGTGTTCGGTATTACTTCCAGCCTCGCCTGCTTCCCAAGAAGTCTGAAATCCCAAATAGCCCGAGACATCATTATACAAGCTAACAGCTCAGGCTTAGTAAAATAATACATTAATAATTATGAAATAGTAATTTGAGGAGTGAATCTAATCCAAGTGGGGGTGTAGTGCATACTCCTTGAGTTCATGAGCCATCCTCAAAGGGAAAATCTGGTCTTGATCTCCCCAAAGTAATAGGACATCCTAATTATTAACAGGCAAATGGAAACGTTAAGCAGCAAAATATCAACAATCAGTGAAAGTTAAAAGATATTGTTAGTATCATGTGCTTAACTATAATCTAGATATTTGAATTTCTAATCTTGATACTATTAAAAGGTCAGGTTGCTGTTGGTAAAATTGATATGAACAGGGAAATTTGCGGACATTTGGTATGTTGTGTGAAAATGGTGGTGGATGAACCTGCTGAAGTGGAGCAAGCTTGACTGTGTCATCACCCTGAACAAGGGTCACACCCTTTAGAAGTTCCAACTTCTCCTTCCTGTTCTCTGAGTACAATTGCTGCACATGCATGAAATATTAGAAATTAATAAATAAGTAAAGT